TCTTGGTTCACATCTCAGACTCTCTGAAGCAGAAGCTGTGGAGGAGATGGCCCAGCAATCTGTTTTAGCAGGCAGTCCAGGTGGTTCTGACGCACTGCAGTCTGTGTTGCTCACCTCCTTTCTCACCTGCTGACTCTAGTTATCTTACTAAACAATGCCTTCCCAGTAGAGTTGCCCTCTCTTCCTTGTGCCATCTCTTTTATAGCATTTACATCACTTGCATATGTCTATCTTTGAAGGCAGAGGCCACACCATAAATTACTTTTTCATCTGCATACAGCACCTATCTCAGTGATAAGTTAATAGGTGGTGGTGAATAAATGAATGTATGCATGAATGAAGGAAGAGAGCATCTTAGGGGGAGTGATGATCAATAAGGTCAGCTGCTATGGAGAGATCATGGAGAATAATGAAGGAAAAAAGCTATTGGATTTCACAGTAAGGCAGGTGTTGGTGACCTTTGAAATGCTTGCCTCAGCAGAGTGATGGGCAAGAAGCCCAGATTACAGGGAGTTAGGGACTCCCAGCATGATGAAAACTTGCAAGTTTCTTACTGTTTATCTGTACATGTCGTGCAAACAGAATTTACCTGTGGTGAAATTGTTAAGTGACCTTTGACCAGTTACCTAGCCCCATTGAGCCTGTGATCTTGGAATAGGTTACAATTGTAATATGTTGTGTTTTAATTAAGAGATTAAACTTATGAACTCCTAGAATGATACCTGACATATAGTTGATGCTTAAATAGTAATTTCCTTTACCCTCCCTCACCATTATTTTTCTTTACTAATGCAGTTGAAAACATCACCCTTTGTCAATATTTTATAAGATATGAATTTTTTTAGGATACTTCTCATTCCAGGCATTGCAGAAATTATAAATTGCATTTGGCCTGAAACTAATGCACCTTTAGTTGAACCACTGACAGCATGACAATTACATGTTATCCAGCTGGAGAAGTACCCTAAATGGTAGCTGTAGGAAATGCTATTTCAAGGAAAGAGAGAGGGATTATGTTTTTTATGTAACTGAAGATTCTAGTGATAGTATCAACCTAAGACACTGTCGTATCTTCTGGATCAAACAATATTGTTTAATATTATGAGTAGTTGATCTTTTTTTTAGATCATTTTGCAGCCTAGTTGATTCACATTCTCAATGTGTATTTGTTAGCTAAAAGTTTAAGAGAAAAAAGAAGAAATTCTCAGCATTTCTAACTAAAATCCTGGATTCAGTCTCACTTTCTAGACTTTGGTCACTTGCCTGTTCTTGAACCATTCTTGATTCCAGGAGGCAGGGATATACTTGTTTTCCAGGACTGGCTAAATATTACTCAGTTCTATGAAATATTGATTCTAAGGGTGGGAGGAGCAATTCCCTAAGGAGAATTCTAGTTTCTATCCCCAGATTGAAGGGGAATGAACACAGAGCAGGCAGAGCAATTGACATTTGTCGTACTGTATAGAAAAGTGCTTTTCATATGTTTCCAGGGTCTGCTCTAGTGAGATACTTAAGCAAGTTGAAGAGGAGAGTAACAAATAATTGGAAGTTCTTTAATCCATGCTCACTCTAACTTTACTGAGAGAAACTCACTTTTATATATATTTTTTGTACCCAACTTCTGGTTGAGATTTCATTTGGAAATGGAATCATGGTAACACTTTGGCTATAAAAAAATTTTAGGTAATGTTTAAACCTATTAATATTAAAATAGGTGACAACTTTCCCCACTCCATCCTGAAGAAGTTATTGCCCTGATTCTTACTCACCCCTTTGACCTAACTCATGTACCTGACACTACAAGATTCAAAACCAAATGCTCCACAGATATATGATGATCATGAAATTACTCCAAATCCCAGTTCAGTTTGTGGATATCATGACACTTAAATGTCATTGCTTAGCCTTTGTGCCTTCAAGGATACCTTCCCAAATATTGTCACAATCATGCTGAAAATTACAGCTGGTATCTCCAAGTTAAGCAGTTTATTGTTTACATCCTCACCTATGACTCATCTTCTAGATAGTCGCTGCTGCCTGAACTAGAGTGTGTGTATTTTTACCAGGGATTGAACCCCAGGATAATCTACCACTGAGCTTCATTTTCAGCCCTTTTTATCTTTCATTTTGAGAAAGTTGCCAAACTTGGAATCCTCCTGTCTTAGCCTCCAGAGTAGCTAGAAGTCGCTGGGGTTATAGGAGTGCACCACTGTACCCTTTAGCTTTTTCATTATCTACTCTTAGGACTTTTTCATTATTACTGGCCTCAAATTTTCAACTCTATATCAGGGCCTAAAACTGCCCAGGTAGCCTGTTTCTGTGAATAAAGTTTTATTGGAACACAGACTTACCTATGTATGGCTGCTTTCCTGCTGTAACATAAGAGGTGAGTAGTTGAAAAAGAGAATGTGTGGCCCACAGGCCTAAAATATTTACTATGTATTGGGCCTTTATAGAATAAGTTGTTGGCTCCTGCTGTATATTTATGAATATATATCTGTATCCCTTCTTTCTGACATAGCATATAACCATGAAGAAGAATTGGGTAATATCTCATTGGAGTTCCAAAAACTGTTTTGGTGGAAATATTTTTGCCTTACCTGTTTTACCTGTGCTCTTACAATTCTCTAAACTCTTTTCTGTACCCTCTCTGATTTAGTTCTCTTCATCTTTTCAAACCACCAGACTTTTGCAGTGATTTGGGAAAGAGGGGTGACAGTTTTCTTTGCAGCCCTGGAACATAGTTTTCCCTTCTCCTGTGTACACTTAATGCAGACACAGAGTACCTAACACACTCTTAAAAACCAGGATATGCTGTCTTTTCCCCCCTGAGGAATCCTCTTAGTTTCATAGTTGTTGTGGCCATAGCAGTGTATTTTACAAAGAAGTATTTGGTGAGGTTCAGGAGGGTGGTGAAATGGGGGAGGAGCAGAATTCCCCTAATCCATCACTCGATTCTGTAAGCAGATCAGCCACTCATCAGAAGGCTGCATGGTTAAGCTGTACTTGAAGAAGAACAAGGATAATAATACCACTTTCCTGCTGTTTTTGCAGCCTAAATGCCCTGTGGAGTGAGAGAAGACTTCAATCTCTAGGCTTGTGAATCCCTTATCTTTCCCAAACGTTAAATTAATTTTTAAAGCTATTTATTCAAAGTTGACTTAACCACTAGAATAGGAAAGATCAGACAAATCAGCTGCAAGAAATGAAGTATGAGGAAACCCGAACTCTTTGACAAAGTATTCCTAGGAGTAAATGTGTTGAATGAAGCCAGCGGGTAAATGATAAGGGCCTTTACACTGTGGATGTAAGAAAGCAATTTATCAAGAGTACATGAACTCTCCAGTGACCACAAGTCAGGAGGAAACGAGAGTGGAGGAGGAGTTCTGAAAAAATACATTAGAAATACTAAAAAAAAAAAAAAAAAACCCTGTGTGCATGTACTTTTGAATTCCTCCATTATTATGTGCTAATACTGGTATGTTAAAATAGGGGTTGCTCAGATTTTACACATACTGTTGCTCATACTGTTACAGGGTGAGGTTTTAGGAGAAGCACTACAGAGAGGCCACGCTATAGCTTAGAATTTGAAGGACACTGAGGTCCTCTCAGGTGTAGTTGTGATGTGGGCCAGGATGTTCTTCAGTATCCATTTGCCTGACTCCAGAGGTTAGATGGCCATCTTTCAGATATACATTTTACTCTCTTTTGATCTCCTAAAGAATATATGTGTGGGCTGGGGTTGTGATTCAGTGGTAGAGCTCTTGCCTAGCATGTGTGAGGCACTGGGTTTGATTCTCAGCACCACATACAAATATATGAGTAAAATAAAAGTCCATCAATGTTTAAAAAAATTTTTAAAAAGAATATATGTGTATAATTCTGACAGTTAATGGCAGCACCTTTTGTGTTTTCTTAAGAAGTTCTAGGTGGCTCTCACTCATCATCTCACTAGTCTTGGCAACATCTCTTTAAGTCCCATAGCTGATATGGTATAATCTTAGTCATTCACACTGGAGAAACTGAGGCAAAATGAATCGTATTTATAAGGAATAGGGTTTCCTGTAACTCAGACATGGGTTAGAACTAGAATTTTCGACCTTAACTTAATAAGGCTTTTTTTTTCCTCCCAAGGGAGAAATGTCATTTCTTAGATATTAGAAGAGGAAAGCCCCATTGTTGAACTATTAGTTTCATTGAAATACTTATTTGAAGAATGATCATCCTCAGTTTTCTCTATTGAGAATTATTAATGCAGTTAGATGGATTTCCCAGATTTTTATTTTTACTCATTTGTTTTCATTCTCATCTGACAGTCTTGTCACAATTTTTAAGAAAGTGACTAAATTATGACTTGAATATTTTCCATAAATAACTCCCAGAGATCATGCCAGTGAAGAAAAAACTATCTAACAAGGGAATAAGAGAGAAATTGGGAAAACTAAGTTTTCAGGTCGTCTCCCTTAGCTAGTTTGAGTTAAATTTCTAGCGTTCCACATAGGTGTTAACTTTCCTTTTATTCCTACAGTCTAAAGAATACACTCATCCTCCCCTTTAAACCATTTAGGTGAATCTCATTTTTTAAAAAAATGGTATTAGTTAGGCTCCTCTTACTGCAGCATAAGTTAGGAATTATTTTCCTTTTTTCTGAAGAAATAGTAGACACAACAGAAACCTGAGTTGAGCTGTGATTTGGCTGGCAAATTAATTACTCAGGTTTATAGAGCCAGCCCCGGTCATTTAAAAACATTCTTAGTGACTATCTTTCTGAAAGTTGAATGTGTTTGCTATTTACTGTTGTCTGCAATGTATGAACACCAAATCCAAAAAAGAAAGATAGCAAAATCGAGGAGGAGAGGAAATATCACTTAAACATCCATGGTTGTAATTGTCTATAGAAACGGAGCCCTGATGACATTCAGTTGTGTATCTAACTCCTCTGTCCTTTTCATCTCTTTATTCCCACCCCTCACTCTGGAACATTGGTGGGACGACTGCAGCCTTGGATAAGCTCAGCACGCAGCACCTGTACCACCCCACCCAAGTGGAGATTGTGCAGTCCAACGTGGTGTTTGACATCAGCAGCCTGATGCTCTACGGGACACAGGCAGTGCCTGTGCGGCTAAAGATTCTGCTGGACCGGCTCTTCAGTGTCCTGAAGCAAGAGGAAGTGCTGCACATACTGCATGGCCTGGGCTGGACTCTGAGGGACTACGTCCGGGGATACATCCTTCAGGTAGGGGAGGGCCTGAATGCCAGTGTCTGGACCAGCTCTTGGAGGGTTGTGTAAGAGCCCTGGGTGTGTTTGGTCTCCTACCTCTTCCTCACAAACCCAGGTACAAACACTCTCCTCTGGTCAGCAGACTGTTCAGGACATTGGAAGGAAGATGGCAGTCCAGAAGGCACCACTACACCTCAGTGGTGTGTATTAGAAAGGGGAAAAAGGGGTCTGTTGACTAGTGTTCCTTTGTATCTTTTGAATTCAACCCTTTCTGCCTATAAAGTGGACTTTCTTGTTTCTGGAGTAAGTCTTGTAAGAGCCCTTATTAATAGGATGGGATCTTTGAGGTGGATGGTGGGCGTATAAAAATCCAGGATTATACTCACATCTGAGTTTAGTAAGGGTTTTCCTCACACTCAGTTAGGCGGCTTGGTGTTTTTATTGATTGTCACTTACCCTAACTATTTATTGTTTCTGTATCCAAATCAAAGGAGGAACTGTGACCTATGTGAACTCCCTGCTTTGTGTAACTAGACAACCCTCACATCATAGCCTTCTAAGTTTCACATTCTAAAACATGGTCATAGACTTGGTCTTTACAGTACCTCTTCTTCTTCCAGCCAGGAGCCTCTGCTTTGTGTCACTGACACCTTTGATCTGGTCAGGGCCTTCAGGCTTACCTGGGAGGCCCACAGCCTCCACCTTTCATCCCTTCCAGGACCCTCTCCCCATCTTTCTTCATCTTTTGTTTTTTTCAGTATGTCATGGGTCATTTTGCAATGTATACTTTGCCTCTGAAATGTTTTTATGGCCCTCTGCCTTCCTACAATCCTTGAGGTGTAAATGTTGAGAACAGCATTTTGGGACACCCTGGATCCAAAAGTACAACCCTGGATGATGAAGAAGCACCGTCCCCTGTTGAAGGAGATCTCAATTTGAGAAGGTAGAATCTGAAGTGGTTTTTGTAATTTCCTTTGGAGATATTACCAGTAGAATTGGTATCACATACACAACAATTGTTTTTGACTGTGCAAGGATTGTGTAGTGCCAGAGGTAATTCACGATGTTTATGACCTGAACCACCCTGTGTTACATGTAAGGCCCTGGCTGCCAGCTTGGGTGGGGAGCTCAAGACTTCTCCTTGATTTAACCTGTCATCAGAACACACCAATTCCTGTCATTTCTCCCATGTGGCACCTCTAGGTTTTAGCCAGGACAGGAGAGCAGAAGAGGGTTGGTGAAGAGAAGTGGAGAAAGAGAAAGTGACATAACCTATCAGCTCTCTGAATAAAGTCATATCTTTGTTTAGTGGGCACCTCAACTTGAAAAGCATAGAAACTTTGACCCTCAGAAAGTCTGATGAGTTGAGGGTGATAATAATAATTATTACATTTTACATTTTCAGTTTATAGTGCACATTCACATCATTATTTCATTTGCCCCAGGATGGGGGGCATTATGAGTAGATAAGTCCTGGGTAGAGAAGGGAGATGAAGAGGTATGCGGTCCAGGAGGAAGGGGCCAGGAAAAATAAGGCATAGACCAATTTCATTCATAATCCCTACTTATACTGGCTCTGAGACCTATACAGTGCCACATCCTTCTACAGTCATTTCTACAACGTGATTGCTAATGTCTGAAAGAATTTTATCATGCAAGAAGGAATAAATGTCTTAGGGATGTTTAAATGCAGTCTGTCTTTCCTTTATTCAAAACCTGTAAGTATTTTTGCTCCAATCGAATACCATGTTCACTGTCTCCACTCTGATGCCTGCTTGTATCATCAGTGCTGTGTGTCAGTTCCACATGTACCTTTTGCCTAAGATAGCGGGAGCATATGCATTGTGTCATTCTATTCAAACAGTTAGATCTGTGCATGGCTCTGCAGATTTACTGCAAAAACAACCCTGTAGCACCTTGCTATAGCATTTTGACAGCCATATAGAACCTGCTGGTTTTTCGATGGTAGGGTACTACTGTCCTGCCTTGACTAGATGTTTTGTTTTTTCTTTAAATAATTACTTAGGTATTAATTTTATCTCAACATATCTTTAAGTCAAATGTAGAAAATGTACTTTAAAATGTACTCTGTATTTCTATTTGGAATGAAAGTCCAAAATTTCAAGATAAAAAATTGCAAATGAAATTAAGTGTGAAAGAAAAATTCAGCAAAAACAACAAACATGTATGAAGTCTTTCATTTGGGAGTAAAATATTAATTATATATAAAGAACACTGTCATTTATTGTGATGCTTAAATTATAATTAATACAAATTTTTACAAATCTCAAATTTAATATAAATAGTTCTTCAGTTAGAGTCTACAATTGACATTTTCAGAAAATCAGATTTTTTTTTAATTAGAGGAACTCCAAGTTAGTTTCTGTCTTGTTTTATTGATAGAATTGATGAAATATAGATTTTATTTAAATGATGCTTTTTGTCATTCCACATTTATAATATGCTTGTTCCTTGTGGAAATGGTGCTTGGGTTAGAAAAAAAGTAAAAGGTTGTAGGACATAAAACCATTTTCAATCATTTAGTGAGAAAACACTCATTTTCAAAAAGAAAAAAGAGTTAGTCTATAAAAATAAACCCCTTTCTTCTAAAGCTGTTACTTGATTATTAGCCAATACTTTAAAAATTATATGTGCTAATGATAAGGTATGCACAAATGACTTTGAATATAATTATATATGGCATTTTTGTGCAGGTAGACTATAAAATGTGCATCTGAAGGCCGTGAAACCCTATAATGCACTATTAGTGAACAAGTCATTTTATCTGGCTAAAACTCAATTGTCTTGTAGCCCTCAAGGCATCAATTTTAACATTATTGCTCTCAACAACAGTATATCGAATATTATGTCAGTTAAAGGAGAATAATTATCAAGGCAAGTTAGGGTGGCTGTTAGTCTTACCACATATTGACCTGGTTAGCAGTTGGCTATAGATTGTGTTACTGGGCAAATGAAGATGTACGGTAAGTTGAACTGGTCAAGCCAGGATATTAATTTAACTCTCTCTGGACCCAAACCTACCTCCCTTATGTATATACAGTTACTCTGGCCTTCAGAAATAGTTTTGAATGTGGAAAAATAGCAGATGCGTAATCTGATTCTGGGGTTTTGGCCATGGAAGAAAATGAGAATTAGGCTATTCTCAAAACCATTTGAAAGCTATCATTTTTGTTTTTGAAGAAGTTCTTAAAAGAAAATGGAAGATGATAGAGATTCATTGAAAAAACTGGCGTATTTGTTAAGGATCCTGTTTTTTTTAATGTCATATTTTTGGTATATTTTTGAGTTAGAGGTGGACATAATACCTTTATTTTACTTTTGTGTGGCACTGAAGATTGAACCCAGTGCCTCACATGTGCTAGGCAAGTGTGCTCTACCACAGAGCCACAACCCCAGCCCCTAGGATCCTGTTTTTGTTTTTCGTTTTTAATTAAAAACTGCCTTTCACTTATATGATTGTCTAAGTAATTTGTAAGTTAACCAGTTGGATGTATAATGCAGAAGATGAGTTACAATTATTTAAGAATCTAGGAAATATCTTAAAGGTGAAAAAATCCAGTATTTTCCTGTGCATTTATCTAAGTATTCATTCAGAAACCATAGAAGAAATCAGGTAAATTATGGGAATTTTCCCAGAACAAAAGAAAAATGGGAATACATAATTAGATGCTAAAATCTAAATATAAGGGAGCGTATGATGCTTTTCTGCTACTAAATAATAATTCTTATTTCAGGTCAGACTCTCATGGTACATTTATTGATGACCAGTGAAAGCAGTGTCCTGCAATTTACACCTCTCCCCATTTCCCCTATCTTTGAAATAAGAATATAGGTGATCATCATTGTTGAATTTAGTCATTTAAAAATCAGATTTTCACATCGTCTCCTTTCAGTTTGAACACACAACTAACTTGTCTGGGCTCCTACACAGCCTGTCTATGGAAGTATGTGAGTGTGTCCTGGCAGAATTCACAGAACCCGTTCAGGTATTCTGAAAACCAAGCTCATGAGAAGTGCAGTTCCTTAACACACATAGCATTTCCTCAACTTTGGAGTGTTTGTAAGGTTTCTTGTGCTTGGTATACCCTACTTCTCTGTATGGGTAATTTCTTGTCATTTAGGTGTCAGCCAAAGTCCCACTTCCTTACAGAGGACCAGCTGAACCAATGGAAATCTTTTCTGGTGTAGCTCTATCTGAGGACACTTTTCTTTGAGCTCCTACCAAAAATCAGTAAAGTCAAATTTTAAATGTTGCTCCTTCATTTTTCTCTAGGGAATTCCACAAACACAGGGCACTTGATGAATATGTGGCTAAATGAATGGGTGAAGAACCCTGTTTAACTTGGTATGACCTGATATTTCACCATGACTCATGGAAGACCCAACAACTTCAATTGGTCCAAGGGTCCTTGGACTTTCTCGAGCCTTCTCTGGGACTGATGGTGGTGGGGCTCTTGAGAGCAGTAAGAAGCCAAGGTTCCCATGCCTCCTAGCTAGCACTCTGTATAGAATAAGTGATTTGTGGTATCAGTGGTAGAAAACATCAATATTAAGCAAACAATTATATTTAAACAGCCATTGTGGAGCAGGTTCACATAAGTTTGTTCTTTGAATACCCTTATACTCTGCTTTCATTTGTTGCCAAAGAATTAACATTTGGTATAGTTGAGGCTCAAAGTGTCAGGTGACTTTCCCAAGATCATAGACATCACTGACTGGCACAGTTGATGTACTGTAAACTTCCTGAAACTAAGAACCATTTTTTAAAAAAAATATTTTTTAGTTATACATGGACACAATATCTTTATTTTACTTATTTTTATGTGATGCTGAGTATTGAACCCAGTGCCTCACATGTGCAAGGCATGCACCCTGCCATTGAGTCACAACCCCAGCCCGCCCCCTGCCCCCCTGCGCCTTTTGTGGCAGTAGTGGGGATTGGACACAGGGGCACTGTACCACTGAGTTACATCCCAACCCCCTTTTATATTATT